GTAAAGTTAGTGTATGTCATACTGCTGACAGTCAGATTTGATGGATTTAATGTTTGTAAAATTAGTGTAAGCCGTACTGCAGACAGTTAGATTTGATGGATTTAATGTTTGTAAAGTTAGTGTAAGCCATATTGCAGACTTGTAGCTATATATATATATATATCCCATAATAGTAATTTTTGGTTTGTTCTTTCAGGTTCTTAGGGTAATTTCACTTTAAATATAAAACAACTGAATACAGTAATTTAGGGTTACATAAAGCACAGTAATTCAGTGACATGTATTGTATATGAATGGTAAGAACAAGACTTATAACCTGCTGCTGGTATTACCGGCAGGTGGCAACAGATTGACCCCCCGATCACACTGTGTCAGGGCTCAGGGGATGTCGGCAAGACCCGAGTGAGAATTGCTCCGTCCAATATCCACGATTTTATATATTTAGTTACATGGTAGGTATCTAGAGATGTTAGTAAAGCTACTGACAAACCTGGCGACTTTTATTAGAATTAAAAATTAAGTGAAACAAGTAGTGTAAAAATTGGGAAGTCAATAAAAAAAAAATTCATATACGTATGTTGAATGAATAAAGGAAGAATTATGTTTCTCATTTTCCGGGGGGGAGGCAAGTCCTCCTTACCCCCCCTGTGAACGCCTGTATTCCTAACCACTTTACGGAAAGCTGTAACTTCTATACAAAGAAAGGACCTGAACATTTTGGTTTGTTCGTGAAATATCAAGAACAACGATTGTGATATATTACATTTAATGACTTACAGTCGTTGTACAGAAAATTCGGGTTGTGGTTTAGAGACGTTTTTAAATACTCGTTCCCACCAAGAACTGGTAAAAATTAAAGAACTTTTTAGCATCAGTTAGTCTCCCTTATAATGTGGAACCTCTGATCCAGTGTTTAATAGAGACACCTACGTGAACTAACTAGATGAAGAATAAAAATAATAAGTTTGTAATTAAGCACGAAGCTACACAATGGTCTATGTGTGTGTGCTCTGCCCACCACGGGTATCGAAACCCGGTTGTAAGTCCGCAGACATACCGCTCTAGTCACTGGGGTGCAAAAATAATAAGTTTGTAATTGAGCACGAAGCTACACAATGGGCTATGTGTGTGTGCTCTGCCAACCACGGGTATCGAAACCCGGATTGTAGCGTCGTAAGTCCGCAGAGCTACCGCTGTGCCACTGGGGTGCAAAAATAATAAGATTTAAAACTATATTGTCAATAAACTTCAAACCGATTCGTAGCATCACTCTTCAGTAGTTGTTGTCTGTCTACCGCGGGAAATCGAACCTGGGATTTTAACAAATAAATAAGTAGAAAAAATACGAAGGGGGGACCAAATAAAGAAATTAAACTTTTGGAGATACATCACTTTTAAAAAACTATTTTTTTTTTGTTGTTGTTTCTGGCTTGAAAAAGAGCGTTTACTCAAAACGGGATAAAATACAACCATAGTTTTTTAAGGTGGTTCCTCTCCAAAAGTTGAATTCCCAGATTTTATCGTTGTAAATCCGTAGACTTAGCAAGTGTATGTAACAGAACAATTAACAAAAATAAGGTGTATAGCTATACTTTTTTTTTGTCAGTTGTTATAATCATTTTCTTCATTCGTTATCGGTTTCGTATCTTCAGTGGTTACTCTTAGATACATAGATATCCGTGCAAAGATAAAAACACGTTACATATTTATATATTGTGCTTATAAGGCAGAGAGCCAACCCAACCGGACCAAACGTGGGTTTGGCACGTGTACTAGTGGCTTGTTTACTCCCACGCCCACGGACTATTGTTTCACAGTGTTAGTATCCCACTTCTAACGACTGGAGGATTATAATGCTTTCCTAGTTAAAATAACAGTTACATTGTGGCCTTGTTAAAGTATACTGGTTACTGTTGTCTGTGTAATCATGTATAGACATGAAAACATCGTTACCAAGTTCTTCTCAGTATTATTATGCGTGCCCTCCGGTGGCTCAGAAGTATGGAGGCTTATAACACAAAAACTCAACGCTTGATTCCTGCGGTGGGCACAGGACACCTTTGTGTTTTACAACAAAGAGAGAATGAGTTGTAAAATAATTAGGGTTAATCTTTGTTAAACCCACACATAAAACATTCGGTAAAGCATGAAGTACTGTATAAAATAATTAGGGTTAATCTTTATTAAACACACACATTCGGTAAAGCATGAAGTACTGTATAAAATAATTAGGGTTAATCTTTGTTACACACACACACACACATAAAACATTCGGTGAAGCATGAAACTGTATAAAATAATTAGGGTTAATCTTTGTTACACACACACATAAAACATTCGGTGAAGCATGAAGTACTGTATAAAATAATTAGGGTTAATCTTTGTTAAAACACAAAAACATTCGGTGAAGCATGAAGTACTGTATAAAATAATTAGGGTTAATCTTTGTTTACACACACACATAAAACATTCGGTGAAGCATGAAGTACTGTATAAAATAATTAGGGTTAATCTTTGTTACACACACACATAAAACTTTCGGTAAAGCATGAATTACTGTATAAAATAATTAGGGTTAAGCTTTGTTACACACATAAAACATTCGGTAAAGCATGAAGTACTGTATAAGACATTCCCGGATTTTTTAACCTCACACAGAATAAAACACATGTAGACTTTGGCAGCTACAAGGTTTTGGTTTTAAAGCGTTGGTGGATGCTAACGTACAGGTCTAAGTTGACCTAACCTCCTGATAAAGTTTTATGTTCTGTTGAACAGTTTCAGTGGTCATATATGTTGACCTTAAACTAGTCCACTCTGGATTATCGCAGCGATCTAACACGAAAAACGCCCCCTGTTTGTTGTTTCCTACAGGAAGCTGCCTAACTAGGAGCTCCACTGGCGAAGTGCCTCGTCAGTTACAGTCCTGTTACTAACACGCGCCACACGCGGAAACAGAATCGCGCACAATTTCATTAATAAGTTTTAGAATATTACACCGTACTCTCTGGTGGGTGAAAATCTCACGTCATGAGAAATCGTAAGTTGGTGTATTTCTACTAGATTTTACATATCTTTTTTTATGTTTGTTTACTTGTTCTGGTATATTGATGATTGGCTGTCTCATCACGTGGTATATTGATGATTGGCTGTCTCATCACGTGGTATATTGATGATTGGCTGTCTCATCACGTGGTATATTGATGATTGGCTGACCCAACACGTGGTATATTGATGATTGGCTGTCTCATCACGTGGTATATTGATGATTGGCTGTCTCGTCACGTGGTATATTGATGATTGGCTAACCCAGCACGTGGTATATTGATGATTGGCTGTCTCATCACGTGGTATATTAATGATTGGCTGACCCAGCACGTAGTATATTGATGATTGGCTGTCTCATCACGTGGTATATTGATGATTGGCTGACCCAGCACGTGGTATATTGATTATATATAAACTGATGCCACAAAAAATGGACAATGTTAAATATATGTTTAAATGCTCATAAAATTTCGGACTGGGACGCCCTTCCTCTAGTTAGTTTGAAGAAATACCACAAGTATTGTCAAACATAAAAGAGCCTGGCATGACCTGATGGTTAGGGCGCTCGACTCACATTCTGTTCGTTTGTCTGTTAAACACAAAGCTACACAAGGAACTATCTGTGCTCTGCCCACCACGGGTATCGAAACCCGGTTTCTATCGTTGTAATTCCGCAGACATACCACTGTGTCACTGGGGGGCCTCGCAATCTGTAGATTCGAAACCCCGTCACCGAACATTCTCGCCCTATCAGCCGTGGGGGCGTTATCAAATGTTGCTCAATCCGACTATTCGTTGGTAAAGGAGTAGCCCAAGAGTTGGCGGTGGGTGGCGTTCACTAGTTTCCTCCCCTCTAGTCTATCACTGCTAAATTAGGGACGGCTAGCGCAGATAGACGTCAAAGATATAACGTTTGAAAGAATTATTATACAACAGATCTAAAAATCCAAACACGAATCAAATCAAAGTTGTTTTAAAAGTAGGAATAGTAATATATGTCATTCTAGAAAAAGTAGACTACTCAAGTTTTGCGTTTATTAGAACTGAAAAGTGTGTTAATACACTACGTTTCACCATACTGACCTGACGTCTTTGTGATTTGTTTAGTGAGTTTTCTTTCAACTTTTTTTAAACATATTTTGCTTTATCTTATGGTTTGATTTTAATATTATTGACGTCATGATGCTGGAGCGTCACGTGCATTACTCACATTCTTTTGTCGGTTTAAATTTAAATTTAAGCACTTGGATGTACAGGTTAACAACTGTTGTGTTGTGTACGTGGAGTTGGGTATAAGTACCGAAGTACTGGTGTTGATGATGTAACTAAGCAATTGGATGTACAGGTTAACAACTGTTGTGTTGTGTACTTGGAGTTGGGTATAAGTACCGAAGTACTGGTGTTGATGTAACTAAGCAATTGGATGTACAGGTTAACAACTGTTGTGTTGTGTACGTGGAGCTGGGTATAAGTACCGAAGTACTGGTGTTGATGTAACTAAGCACTTGGATGTACAGGTTAACAACTGTTGTGTTGTGTACGTGGAGTTGGGTCGAAGTACCGAAGTACTGGTGTTGATGTAACTAAGCACTTGGATGTATAGGTTAACAACTGTTGTGTTGTGTACGTGGAGTTGGGTCTAAGTACTGAAATACTGGTGTTGATGTAACTAAGCAATTGGATGTACAGGTTAACAACTGTTGTGTTGTGTACGTGGAGTTAGGTCCAGGTACAGAAGTGTTGATGTTGATGTAACAGCATGTTTTGCATACTGAACGCGCACAACAACGCGTGCCACACGAACGCACGCGAACGAGCGCGCGCACACACACACATATATATACTTCTCAACATTGATTTTTGTAGTTTATTTCATTTTTGGACACCAGAGCGTCAGCTTTTTTTCGAACTTTAAGAACGCGACTAGCAACAATGTACAACACCCAACAGACCTGTTATTATTATTATTGGCGTTTTTTTTAAAGCTTTTAAATGTCATTTGAACTTCAATCTTTAATTTTTATCATTTCTTTATCATGACATATATATATATTAATATTATCCTAGTTTTAAAACAATATTAATTTCCCAGTAATTCACATCTACTTATATTTAGCTCTGTCACACGATGTGTTCTACCAAAGTTTGAACTCACCAGAGGGAGAGCGTTCCAGCCCGGAATGTTATGAACATTAAAATATCTATTTAGTTATTTTTTGTGGTATAAGTCCCCTCCGTTTCTTTTCCTTACGATTTCATCATACCACAGCGGTCTTTAGCTTATGTTTAGTCAGTTATTGCCATAATGACCAAAAACTCTTACACGTGGTTTTCACGTGTTCTTATTTTGTAACGTCCTAAGACGTTTAAATTCTGTCATTTCTTGAACGAGTCAAACTGACAGATATGGTTTAACTGCGAACTCTTTGTTGACCGATTCATGCTTTGTCCTTATAGCAGGGAAGCTAATGCAAAGTTCGAGATTCAATTTTCAATTCGTTGGGTATATTTCCGCCTATTTAGGGGGAGCTTTCCTGCAAAGTCCATGTTGTCATGCCGAAAATGCTGCACTCAAACGGCAGAAACATCTAGTTTACCGGTGTTCCCGAAAACAATATCCATTTGTATTCAGAAATTAGAAATACACATCTAATCTGAATAGGAATAGACAATATATTTTCAAATTAAAACAATCATTAAAAACTAACGCTTTATTTAATGAAGCTACGTTGTAACACTTTACAGACGTAATAAAGCTACATTGTAACACTTTACAGATGTGTTGACAGACGTAATGAAGCTACACTGTAACACTTTACAGACGTAATGAAGCTACGTTGTAACACTTTACAGACGTAATAAAGCTACGTTGTAACACTTTACAGACGTAATAAAGCTACGTTGTAACACTTTACAGACGTAATGAAGCTACGTTGTAACACTTTACAGACGTAATGAAGCTACGTTGTAACACTTTACAGACGTAATGAAGCTACGTTGTAACACTTTACAGACGTGTTGACAGACGTAATGAAACTACGTTGTAACACTACAGACGTGTTGACAGACGTAATGGAGATACGCTGTAACACTTTACAGAGGTATTGATAGACGTAATGAAGCTACGCTGTAACACTTTACAGAGGAGCTGACAAACGTAACGAAGCTACACTGTAACACGTTACAGACGTAATGAAGCTACGTTGTAACACTT